ATTTTTCGAAGAAAATATTAATATATTTTGACTTATTTTACCCCAAAATATTGACGCATAATTACTTGTCAAAGGCAATTTTCTCCACAAATCGAATGGAATGCGTTCTAGGGTCCCTTAGGCATCTTACCTGGAAGTTTGGAGCAATTTCATTTTTTGGCCTAAATTGAAAATATTACAAGGGGTAAGCCTTACATTTTTGATCAAATTTGTCCCAAAAATGACTTTTCTTCAAACTTCGCAGAAATGCCTCTTGATTGAAGGGGAGTATCATTCAATATTGAAACAGCTATAATTTCGAAGATTCTGGCAAAAATAATCATTTTTCGAAGAAAATATTAATATATTTTGACTTATTTTACCCCAAAATATTGACGCATAATTACTTGTCAAAGGCAATTTTCTCCACAAATCGAATGGAATGCGTTCTAGGGTCCCTTAGGCATCTTACCTGGAAGTTTGGAGCAATTTCATTTTTTGGCCTAAATTGAAAATATTACAAGGGGTAAGCCTTACATTTTTGATCAAATTTGGCAAAAAAATGACTTTTCTTCAAACTTCGCAGAAATGCCTCTTGATTGAAGGGGAGTATCATTCAATATTGAAACAGCTATAATTTCGAAGATTCTGGCAAAAATAATCATTTTTCGAAGAAAATATTAATATATTTTGACTTATTTTACCCCAAAATATTGACGCATAATTACTTGTCAAAGGCAATTTTCTCCACAAATCGAATGGAATGCGTTCTAGGGTCCCTTAGGCATCTTACCTGGAAGTTTGGAGCAATTTCATTTTTTGGCCTAAATTGAAAATATTACAAGGGGTAAGCATTACATTTTTCATCAAATTTGGCAAAAAAATGACTTTTCTTCAAACTTCGCAGAAATGCCTCTTGATTGAAGGTGAGTATCATTCAATATTGAAACAGCTATAATTTCGAAGATTCTGGCAAAAATAATCATTTTTCGAAGAAAATATTAATATATTTTGACTTATTTTACCCTAAAATATTGACGCATAATTACTTGTCAAAGGCAAGTTTCTCCACAAATCGAATTGGAATGCGTTCTAGGGTCCCTTAGGCATCTTACCTGGAAGTTTGGAGCAATTTCATTTTTTGGCCTAAATTGAAAATATTACAAGGGGTAAGCCTTACATTTTTCATCAAATTTGGCCAAAAAATGACTTTTCTTCAAACTTCGCAGAAATGCCTCTTGATTGAAGGGGAGTATCATTCAATATTGAAACAGCTATAATTTCGAAGATTCTGGCAAAAATAATCATTTTTCGAAGAAAATATTAATATATTTTGACTTATTTTACCCCAAAATATTGACGCATAATTACTTGTCAAAGGCAATTTTCTCCACAAATCGAATGGAATGCGTTCTAGGGTCCCTTAGGCATCTTACCTGGAAGTTTGGAGCAATTTCATTTTTTGGCCTAAATTGAAAATATTACAAGGGGTAAGCCTTACATTTTTGATCAAATTTGTCCCAAAAATGACTTTTCTTCAAACTTCGCAGAAATGCCTCTTGATTGAAGGGGAGTATCATTCAATATTGAAACAGCTATAATTTCGAAGATTCTGGCAAAAATAATCATTTTTCGAAGAAAATATTAATATATTTTGACTTATTTTACCCCAAAATATTGACGCATAATTACTTGTCAAAGGCAATTTTCTCCACAAATCGAATGGAATGCGTTCTAGGGTCCCTTAGGCATCTTACCTGGAAGTTTGGAGCAATTTCATTTTTTGGCCTAAATTGAAAATATTACAAGGGGTAAGCATTACATTTTTCATCAAATTTGGCAAAAAAATGACTTTTCTTCAAACTTCGCAGAAATGCCTCTTGATTGAAGGGGAGTATCATTCAATATTGAAACAGCTATAATTTCGAAGATTCTGGCAAAAATAATCATTTTTCGAAGGAAATACTAATATATTTTGACTTATTTTACCCCAAAATATTGACGCAAAATTACTTTTCAAAGGCAATTTTCTCCACAAATCGAATTGGAATGCGTTCTAGGGTCCCTTAGGCATCTTTCCTGGAAGTTGGAGCAATTTCATTTCTTGGCCAAAATTGAAAAATATTACAAGGGGTAAGCCTTACATTTTTGATCAAATTTGGCCCAAAAATGACTTTTCTTCAAACTTCGCAGAAATGCCTCTTGATTGAAGGGGAGTATCATTCAATATTGAAACAGCTATAATTTCGAAGATTCTGGCAAAAATAATCATTTTTCGAAGAAAATATTAATATATTTTGACTTATTTTACCCCAAAATATTGACGCATAATTACTTGTCAAAGGCAATTTTCTCCACAAATCGAATTGGAATGTGTTCTAGGGTCCCTTAGGCATCTTACCTGGAAGTTTGGAGCAATTTCATTTTTTGGCCTAAATTGAAAATATTACAAGGGGTAAGCCTTACATTTTTGATCAAATTTGTCCCAAAAATGACTTTTCTTCAAACTTCGCAGAAATGCCTCTTGATTGAAGGGGAGTATCATTCAATATTGAAACAGCTATAATTTCGAAGATTCTGGCAAAAATAATCATTTTTCGAAGAAAATATTAATATATTTTGACTTATTTTACCCCAAAATATTGACGCATAATTACTTGTCAAAGGCAATTTTCTCCACAAATCGAATGGAATGCGTTCTAGGGTCCCTTAGGCATCTTACCTGGAAGTTTGGAGCAATTTCATTTTTTGGCCTAAATTGAAAATATTACAAGGGGTAAGCATTACATTTTTCATCAAATTTGGCCAAAAAATGACTTTTCTTCAAACTTCGCAGAAATGCCTCTTGATTGAAGGGGAGTATCATTCAATATTGAAACAGCTATAATTTCGAAGATTCTGGCAAAAATAATCATTTTTCGAAGAAAATATTAATATATTTTGACTTATTTTACCCTAAAATATTGACGCATAATTACTTGTCAAAGGCAAGTTTCTCCACAAATCGAATTGGAATGCGTTCTAGGGTCCCTTAGGCATCTTACCTGGAAGTTTGGAGCAATTTCATTTTTTGGCCTAAATTGAAAATATTACAAGGGGTAAGCCTTACATTTTTCATCAAATTTGGCCAAAAAATGACTTTTCTTCAAACTTCGCAGAAATGCCTCTTGATTGAAGGGGAGTATCATTCAATATTGAAACAGCTATAATTTCGAAGATTCTGGCAAAAATAATCATTTTTCGAAGAAAATACTAATATATTTGGACTGATTTTACCCCAAAATATTGACGCATAATTACTTTTCAAAGGCAATTTCTCCACAAATCGAATTGGAATGCGTTTTAGGGTCCCTTAGGCATCTTTCCTGGATGTTTGGAGCAATTTCATTTTTTGGCCAAAATTGAAAATATTACAAGGGGTAAGCCTTACATTTTTCATCAAATTTGGCCAAAAAATTACTTTTCTTCAAACTTCGCAGGAATGCATCTTGATTGAAGGGGAGTATCATTCAATATTGAGACAACTATAATTGCAAAGATTTTGGCAAAAATAATCATTTTTCGAAGAAAACATTCATAATTTTGACAGATTTTGCCCCGAAATATTGACGCATAATTACTTTTCAAAGACAATTTTCTCCACAAATCGAATTGGAATGCGTTCTAGGGTCCCTTAGGCATCTTACCTGGAAGTTTGGAGCAATTTAATTTTTTGGCCTAAATTGAAAATATTACAAGGGGTAAGCCTTACATTTTTGATCAAATTTGTCCCAAAAATGACTTTTCTTCAAACTTCGCAGAAATGCCTCTTGATTGAAGGGGAGTATCATTCAATATTGAAACAGCTATAATTTCGAAGATTCTGGCAAAAATAATCATTTTTCGAAGAAAATATTAATATATTTTGACTTATTTTACCCCAAAATATTGACGCATAATTACTTGTCAAAGGCAATTTTCTCCACAAATCGAATGGAATGCGTTCTAGGGTCCCTTAGGCATCTTACCTGGAAGTTTGGAGCAATTTCATTTTTTGGCCTAAATTGAAAATATTACAAGGGGTAAGCCTTACATTTTTCATCAAATTTGGCAAAAAAATGACTTTTCTTCAAACTTCGCAGAAATGCCTCTTGATTGAAGGGGAGTATCATTCAATATTGAAACAGCTATAATTTCGAAGATTCTGGCAAAAATAATCATTTTTCGAAGAAAATATTAATATATTTTGACTTATTTTACCCCAAAATATTGACGCATAATTACTTGTCAAAGGCAATTTTCTCCACAAATCGAATTGGAATGCGTTCTAGGGTCCCTTAGGCATCTTTCCTGGAAGTTGGAGCAATTTCATTTCTTGGCCAAAATTGAAAAATATTACAAGGGGTAAGCCTTACATTTTTCATCAAATTTGGCCAAAAAATGACTTTTCTTCAAACTTCGCAGAAATGCCTCTTGATTGAAGGGGAGTATCATTCAATATTGAGACAACTATAATTTCAAAGATTTTGGCAAAAATAATCATTTTTCGAAGAAAACATTCATAATTTTGACAGATTTTGCCCCAAAATATTGACGCATAATTACTTTTCAAAGACAATTTTCTCCACAAATCGAATTGGAATGCGTTCTAGGGTCCCTTAGGCATCTTTCCTGGAAGTTTGGAGCAATTTCATTATTTGGCCTAAATTGAAAATATTACAAGGGGTAAGCCTTACATTTTTGATCAAATTTGACTTTGGCAAAAAATGACTTTTCTTCAAACTTTGCCGCTTGATGAAAGTGGAGTATCATTCAATATTGAATTAAGTTTGAAAAGGCAATATCCTCTAGATTTTCTCCAGGTAATGTTAGTTTTTCAAAATGTTTGATAAAAAATGAGTGGTTTTGCAGTTAATATTTTATTTTTAACATACCACAATAATATGGTGGGGGCCGGGGGGGGGGGGGGGGGGAGCCCTTTATGCTACCGTTAGAAATTAATGTTTTTATGGTTTTATTTAAATTTTGTCCTAGTGGCGCGCCATAGAACCTCTAATTTAAAGATGGCTGCCCGCACAACGTGCCGGATTGAATGATTCATTTCTGTGGAGTAATGTCAATGAACGACAGCTTTAACATCAATATACATTTTCAAAGAAGGACCAATTTATTAGTTCATCATAGCCACCTATCATTGATCAAGTAGGTACCAACAAAGGCTTGTATTTGCTTAATTTTTAATGCCATTGAAAAGCAAAAAAAGTACGATACACACTCACTCATTACCACTGCTGGTTACGCATTAGGATTTAGGCCCTAGGCTATGGATGAGGGCGCTGTTCATTTGTGACCCTTTTTCTGAATAGGATTCGGATTAGGAAATTGTGATTAAAGTTTTGATTTTTGGCACATTCAAACTGTTTTATTGAAATTCAAATATCAGAAATTTTGAAATCATTGCCGTCTGCCATATATTTATTGAAATATGCATGAATCATGGAGGAATAAAATTTCCTCCATGCATGAATATAGACACAGATTCTGGGAAAATTTTTGAGTTTTGATTAAAGCAGTTCATTCAACATGTTCAATCGTGTTTCTGCACCCCATTTTGTATGCAAAATAATCACACTTTACTCTGCCTTTAAACGTACACATTTCAGTGTCTCAAACAAATCCCTGGTTTAAATCCATTTTTCTTTGGTTTGCAGATTCCGACAAAATTCAAACTTGTATTTAAATTAAATGTCTATTTCAGTTTTATTCTACAAATTAAGCCACACCAAAGACAAGTCATAATATATTCGAAAAATTGAATTAGCCTCCCTAGACAGGCTAGGCCCCCAGATTACATGGGCATGACTAGACCCGTGAACGTGGCCGTTGTATACAACTTATTACAAGCCACGTTCACGGGTCTAGAGCGTGACTAGTTTGGCCTACAGTGAGAATGATTGAAACTAGGTGCAGTAAATTTCTCAACTGGTAGGCCTAAATCTTGTGTATCAAAAAAATTACAATTGACAGGTTAATAAAAGAGAAATTTTGTCATCTTGCTGAAGATGTTTGCTGCCCCATCTTGTTGAGTTGTCATGGGTTTCTTAATTTTTTTAATTGCCCACCTAGTGTGGCCGCGGTATTGCTGGGCTGTAGCACAGCAATACCGCAGCCACACTTTGTGGGGCTAACCATATCCGCGAAATAATTTCAATTATTGAAACCAAACTCAAGTATTGAAACCGTTGTTTGTTTGTCCACAGCAATGCCAGTGTCAATGACACCCACAGGCGGCCCTAGCTGCTTCGATCGCGTCAAGATGGGTTTCATGATTGGATTCTGTGTCGGCCTGGGATCTGGCGCCCTCTTTGGTGGCTTCTCAGCATTGAGGTACCAAAATGGGCTTCATTAAATTGTGCCTTCAATCCTCATTTTTAAAATGTCCTCATTTTCGTCTTTCATATTCCAGAATTATTTTATTAATCCTAACGACAACGTACCTGAATCCATCAAAATCCACACCCCTGTTTCGGGGGATTTCGGCGGATTCAGGATACCTCCATATTGCACAAACTGGGGGATTTTGATGGATTCAGGATTGTCAGCCTAGCGGAACTGCAGGATTTTGATGGATTCAGGATACCTCTATATTGGGCAGTTGGGGGACTTTGATGGATTCAGGATCTCAACAGATTTACTCCTGCCTAACTGGTGGATTCTGATGGACTCACTGGCCACCAGCTTTTTTTTGCACGGCAAAATTGATGGATTTTGGCAGATTCAGGATACTTTCTAGTAACAGAGCCCAAGGGGTTAGGGTTAATTATAATATTATTACAAGGACAAAACCTAATGCAATATTTGACAAATTTACATCGGCAGTAGGCCTACCTGTAGCACAATCATTGCCAAGTCAGCCCGTCAATTTAAAATTAAAGTAACTTTCAATCCTGTTTTTTCCCCGTGCCACAGATATGGATTGAGGGGCAGAGAGTTAATGTCGACGGTTGGCAAGACGATGATTCAAGGCGGCGGAACATTTGGACTTTTTATGAGTGTTGGAACGGGCATTCGATGCTAGCAAACACATGCTGTTTGCCAGAAGTGGATGAATTCTGTCTGAACGCTTCTCCAAAATTTGTGACCCTTGATGTAGATGATGGACAAGTGCCACTTATGTACATAGGCTGGCTGCGCAACGATAATTGACCCTGGATGGAATCCGTGCTCAAACTTTGGCAGGCTTCTTTGCTCAATCAATTTTTCAATTACTGTAGAAAACCAAAAAAAATAAAATTTTTTTGGGAAATGAAAAAAGCTGACGGAATCATCATTTCATATTGATCGACTTTTTGTTCTCAAAACAATGGATAACTAATACCTCTCTATAAAAAGATAGAAACACAAATCAAAGAAAGAAATGGAGAGTTCAATTGAAAAGAAATGTATATGTAATTATCCAGTTTAAATTTTCATGATAGCTGCCTAATTACCTATTTTGAACATACCATTAAAGTACAAAAATTGCAGTATAACAAAATCAACAAATTGAAACCTTAAATTCTAGTTGCACCTTCTTAGAAACCCCAAAAATATAGTCGGTCTCTGGTCAGTGCGCGTGACAATGTTGATCATGCGTGTCAATGTTTTTTTCCCTTCAAATTTTCCGTGGTAGCTACAACAGCGCCCTCTATTGCTGCACCACCTCAAATTTTCGTGGGCAGCTCGACTCCAAATGGTGGAGAGCACCAAGGCAAATGATGGAGGACACCAAAGAATGAGGGAAAAAACCCAAAATGGTACCCACCTTGTCTTGAAAAAAAAAAAAAAAAAAGGCCGCATCAATTCAGGAACTTTGGTCTGACCACAGACCGACTATTTTTTTTGTTGGCCTTGCATGTAATCTTCCCAATATTAAGAATATTCTTTTAAAAATATACATCACAGTTCAACACTAAATTTTAATGAAAATTATTTAAACCATTTAAGACCACATACCCATTCATTAATTTACAATTTGAATGTTACAGGAAAAAAGTTCAAAGGTTGCTATTTTTACAAAGAGCCCATTTTGAGGGATTGATATTTCTTTGTGGAAACAACGACATTATTGGTCTGTCTTTGTATTAAAATCAAATAAAAAGTTTCAAAGGGGGAAAAATGGATTCTGTGTAAGTGTCCTTGTGACTCTGCAACTTAAAGGGAATATACAACATTTTGCTTTTGCTGTAAATTTTTAGAAATGGATGGATTTGGGGGTTAGTATTTTATAGCAAATATTGTTACACTGACTTGTTTGAAGCTTCGTGTTCGGAGATGCTGGAAAAACCAAGCAAAACAATCATGTTCATATAGTCTGGTTCCCTGACCCAACTTAAGATGAAACGGAGCAATTTATAGATGTTGGGGAATTGTAAGGTCAGGGAACCATAGGTGTTAAATCTATTGCAAAATGCGGGATAACTAAATATGGTAAATTGGGGGCAATATTTGAAAAGTTTTTTCCAACGCTGGTCGGTTGACACAAAAATACCACTTTTCTTCAAAATGTCAGCACACCAGGTGCCATGATTTTACAGGATGCTTTAGACTGTCATTCACTAACAGTCCAGTTGGGTATTTCATAAAAATTTGGTAGTTTTGTTTTTTCGATGTTTGCAAAGTTGTATATTCTCTTTAAATGGTTAAATAAATGAAAGATTTAAAGACTAAACACAGGCGGATAACTGATATACCTTACTCCCCTTTAAATTAAAATTAACATACAACAAAATACCTTTAAAAACAAAAGGCGAGGAAATTCGGTGAGTTCAACTGACCACATAATTTGTTATCTCTTCAACTGATTTTGGTGGATTAGCTTTCATATTATTTCTACAGCTGGTGGTATGTTACCTAGGCACCAATTCCAGTTCGCAAGCATAGCATATTTCAGCATAACTTTGAAAAGTGATGTGGTTTCATTAGGGAAAAAAATTGACGAAGAAAATATAAGTTATCCCGCGAGCGCGAGTGGAACAAGGAATAACGTAGGCGTCTGTGTCCCACATACCACGAGGCCGAAGGCCGAGTATGTGGGACACAGACGCACTACATTTTCCGTGTTCCACGAGCGCTAGCGTGATAACGAATTTATCTTCAAGCAAACTTGACGCACAGTAAAGATGGAACATGCAAGCTGTACACGATCTTTTCAGCGGTTATGCGGTTATCCTATTACGTGTGCATGTTGTACGGAATGGCGCGCGCATCTTAGAAAAGCGCAATACGCGGAGTGTGGTATGGAGGGAGGCCGTGCTACATGGTTATATGTAGCACGGCTTGTTGCCATGGATCGACCAATCAGGATCAAGGATTCAAGTTTGCTTGAAGAAAAACGGTATTGTACATCACAGATCCTCTACACAAGGATAAACGACTCATCTGAGCTTGTGTACAAAAAGTGCGAAACTGATTCTCTACCTGCATGATATGCCGCGTCTGCGCATAGAACAACGCATCGAACATTGCACGCGCCATGATCGCCGAAAGCTGGCATCCTAACAGAAATTTGACCACTAAAAGACCGCAGTCGCATGCAGTCTCGCGCACGCACGGCGCGCAAATTCAATATCACGCCTCTAACCAGAAATTCAAGGAAGTCGTTTATCCTTGTGTAGAGGACTGTGGCTACATGTACTGACTTTTGCCGTTATGAAAATAATCGCAACAGAAACTTGACCTTGGCCTCACTACACTTCATTTTTTCTTGATGACTTTACCAATGCTTAGAGAATAAGCAATGAGAACCTCCCCTTTCAAAAATACATTGTAAACACCACCAAAAAAAAAGAAAGTCCACATTCCACATTCATTGGAGGGGTCTTAATTTTGAATCTGATGGTCTTATGATGACATTAGCTACATTTTGATACCCCGTTTGTAAGCAAAGACTGTAAATCCTCCAAGATTGACAACGGTTAATGAAAAATAATGCAGTTTGAAAAATGGAAAATTTAAAGAGTCCGTGAGGAGAAATTGCTAAGCGTAACAACACGTCCATATATTGACTGCACAGTGCCCGAACAAAGCGCGGGTAATTTAATTCATGCGTTCCCTGCATGCAAGCACTGTGCGATCGGTATTCCCTGCCGTTCGTTTCTGGCATTGAGACATTGTCACGTAGCAATTTCCACTCGTGTACTCTTTAAATTTGTAACTTTTCAAAGTGCATCATTTTTCATAAACCATTGTCAATCTTGGACGATTTACAGTCTTTGGTAGCAAACGGGGTATCAAAATGTAGCCAACAACATTTCCCAAAGGTCTATATCAATGAAGTCATCATAAGACGATCAGATTCAAAATGATGACCCCTCCAATGAGCGTGGACGTTCTCTGTTTGCGGTGTTTACATCAGCAATGGCATGTTACAAGGGGTGTGTAGAGAAGCCAGCGTTATAACGCCTTGCCCAGGTCAATCTTCTTCTGTATAGCCCTGGCCGAGTGGTAGATGAATGAATCTATCAGACCAGCAACTGTAAACAAAAATAAAATGGAAAAAGTTTGAAGTTTTCTGATAATCGATATTGGGTTTTGCCCTTCATCGACAGATTATAATGTATACTCGGTGTGTAACCTCCCGAGTGAAAGTTGGAAAAAAATCACTCGGGTGGGACTCGAACCCACGACCTCCTGCTTTCTGGTGCAGATGTCTTACCACTCGACCACCGAGCTAACGGGATCAGTTGGCCGGTTCGAATCTGATGTACATAGCAGCGGGTACCGCAATTAAACTTTTCACCCCGACGCAAAATATCATCTTATGAATAGTTTTTCTGATAACTGACCCGGGAAATATCAGGTCACAGAAATGTCTGCATGATTGTAACTCAAATCGAAATTAAAACAAAAATGAGAAATAACAATCCTGACTATCTAGTTCTCTCCTAAGTACTTAAAGGGAAGATACAACATTTGCAAACATCACAAAACGAAATGATCAAATTATCACAAAATACCGTACTGGATTGTTAGGGAATGACAGTCTAAAGCATCCTGTAAAATCGTGGCCCCTGGTGTGCTGTCATTTTCAAGAAAAAAAGGTATTTTTCCAACGCTGGTCGGCCGACAAGTGTTGGAGAAAACTGTTTTTTTTTTTTTTTTATAACTGCTCCTAATTGTTCATAATTAGTTATTCTGCATTTTCTTTGCAATTGATAACACACCTGTGAAGGGGTACAAGCCTGCTAGACTAATTCTCTGACCTTACAATTCCCCAAAGTCTATACATTTCTCCGTTTCATCTTAAGTGGGGTCAGGGAACCAGACTACAAGAACATGATTGGTTTTCTTGGTTTTCTAGCATCTTCAAGCCCAAAACGTGAAACAAGTCCTTTTAACAATATTTGCTTTCACATACTAATCCTCCAAATCCATTTATTTCTCAAAACTGCAGCAAAAGCAAATGTTGTACATTCCCTTTAAAATGAGGAAAACCTTCTTGGTAAAAAAAATCCACATTGAGAAAATGTGCCAGTTTATTTCTTTAATGCAGTGACGGGATTTTATGAAACAAAATTAAAGGATAAAAAACTAGGGTTTCGTACCTGTGAACACTCCACCAATGATGGCACATACCCCAGTCAAGAAATGCATAAACGACCTACCAAAAACAAAAAAACAATAACAACAAATGAGAATTTAACCTTTTGTTGAATAAAAAGCTTTTATGAAATACTTGTTTATGTATGTAAATGTCAAGTTATAAACACCGCCAAAAAAGAAAGTCCACACTCATTGGAGGGGTCATTATTTTGAATCTGATCCTAATAATATAGACTTTTGTGAAATGTGATTAGCTACATTTTGATCCCCAGAAAGAATCAACTACAAGGTCATCATTCTTATGTTTAAAGCGTACTGGAAACAAGCTCCCGCCTACATTACGGACATGCTCCAAATTAGTTCTCAACAGAGACGACTTCGATCATCAACCTCCTGTTCACTACACTTTGTTGAGCCCAGAACCCACTGTGTCTCTTTTACTGATACTAGAAACAAGCTCCCGCCTACATTACGGACATGCTCCAAATTAGTTCTCAACAGAGACGACTTTGATCATCAACCTCCTGTTCACTACACTTTGTTGAGCCTAGAACCCACTGTGTCTCTTTTACTGATACTAGAAACAAGCTCCCGCCTACATTACGGACATGCTCCAAATTAGTTCTCAACAGAGACGACTTCAATCATCAACCCCCTGTTCACTACACTTTGTTGAGCCTAGAACCCATTGTGTCTCTTTTACTGATACTAGAAACAAGCTCCCGCCTACATTACGGACATGCTCCAAATTAGTTCTCAACAGAGACGACTTCGATCATCAACCTTCTGTTCACTACACTTTGTTGAGCCTAGAACCCATTGTGTCTCTTTTACTGATACTAGAAACAAGCTCCTGCTTACATCACGGACATGCTCCAAATTAGTTCTCAACAGAGATGACTTCGATCATCAACCTTCTGTTCACTACACTTTGTTGAGCCTAGAACCCATTGTGTCTCTTTTACTGATACTAGAAACAAGCTCCTGCTTACATCACGGACATGCTCCAAATTAGTTCTCAACAGAGACGACTTCGATCATCAACCTCCTGTTCACTACACTTTGTTGAGCCCAGAACCCATTGTGTCTCTTTTGCTGATAGATCATTTTCTGTATACGGCCTCAGAATCTGGAACAAACTTCCAGAATACATTAGAGATACCACCTCACTGCATACATTCAAGACACTCCTGAAAGCTCACCTGTTTCAGGAGGTGTACTATCAATAATTTTTCTTCTTTTTGGTGCCCATCAGCGTCTTAGACCAAACTTTTTGATTTTGGCGCTTTATAAATTTCTTTTGATTGATTGATTGATTGTTTGCTACCAAAGACTGTGAATCGTCCAGCATTGACAACGGTTTATGAAAAATGATGCAGTTCCAAAAGTTGCAAAATTAAAGAGTACGCGAAATTGCTGCGTGACAATTTCACACTGCCCGAAACGAACGGCAGGGAATACCGCTCGCACAGTGCTTGCATGCTGGGGAACACGCAAATTGAATTACCTGCGCTTTGTTCAAATTTGGGCACTGTGCAGTCGATAGGAGCCAATCTTTAAATTTGCAACTTTTCAAACTGCATCATTTTTCATAAGCCATTGTCAATCTTGTACGATTAACAGTTTTTTTGGTAGCAAACAGAGTATCAAAATGTAGCTAACAAAATTCCCCAAAGGTCTATATAAATCAGATTCAAAATTATGACCCCTCCAATGTGTGTGGACTTTCTTTTTTTGATTCATAGTAGTTCAGAAGAAAGGCTCAACACAAAGCCTTTTATGTTTTTGCAAAAGATCTAGTCAAATGAAGCACAATCTCACCTATGTTTTTCTGTGAATTTGACCATGAGCGGTGAGAGTTCGTACAGCACGAAGACACCGGGCAAGCCCTGCTCACCGCTGAGGTTCAGAATGGAGACCTGCTTCTCGTGCTTGGTGACCGAGTATTGATTGGTTCGCGTCGTCTGTCCGTTGAGTTTGGTGTAGGTGGTCGGAACAACTTTGATGAAATATTGATACATTGTTGAGCCTGTAATGAAAAACCAGTATAAACTAACAAGCGATTCCACAACTACCATTTTTTTTTGTATCGGCAGGAATTACTTTTCTATCAATTCTTACTGAAGGGATAAGATTTAAAACTATGTCTTGAGAAATTTGTCAGGAACCTTCCTGAAATCTCCACTGCGCAAGAAACCAATGGCACACTCTTTGTACCTACCAAGTTTCAAGGCATCAAGCCCCATGTAAAGTAATAGTGGCTGGGCTCTACCTTCCAGAATCCTACAAAATCTTCCACTGTGCAGGAACCCAATAGCACACTCTTTGTGAAATTCAGAAATTCAGGAAAAATACTCACAACTCTCCGAGGTGTTCAAGACGTACTTCAAATTAAAGCTTACTTCATCATCTTTCATTTTCTGTTCAATTTTCTGGGGGGTAACCAATGACTTTTAGGAGAACATTCCATCCAAAGATGATCACCCCTTAAAGCAGTCCTGAAGCCCACCGCCATTTTGAAAATGGACGCCTACGCTCAAATGCAAAATAGAGCCATTTTAGGGCCTAATCATCATCAACATTTCACAGAAATACGAGCTTGCAGTCCTCTGCACGGCTTCCACCCATATTTTGAACAAACCCTCAAGTTCATGGCCCACAATATGCTCAAATACCAAAGAATTTGAGGGCATGCGAATCGTGATTTGTCCGGCGTAGGCAATGTCGGACCGATTTACTGGTCTGCACCTATCAAGCCCCATGTAAAGTAATATCGGCTTGGCTTTGCCTTCCTTAATCCTCCAAACTCCTCCACTGTGTATGAAACCAATGGCACACTCGTTGTACCTACCAAGTTTCAAGTAGCATCAAATTCAAATGTACAGTAATAGTAGATTGGATCTCCCTTCCCTAATCCTACAAAATCCTCCCAACCAACTGGTGGATTTTGAGGGCTCTGTGAGGGTAATCATAAACGGCGAGGGTAAAATGCTATGGACTCCTTATGCCATCAAAGAGGGTACGTTTTTAGCACTTTTAAGAGCTCCGTGGACGGGACACACAGCGTGAGCGTACTGTACTGGTTCTCGCTGCGAAGTATGCAAAACTTCCTGAATGTGCCAAAGCTATTAGCCACAGCGTCTGCGCGTAAGAGTCAAGCGTCGTCAGCGCGTGAATAGCTTGGAATTTAAGTTGTGATGGTCTCCCAGATTAATTGGATCATTCAAAATACGCAGTGGATGGACCGGGAACCAGTCTAGGTCTCCCCCAACTCTCCTTTTCTGGCCGTCGAAGGAGTACTTTTGCACAGGAGCCCATAGGGCAAGGGAGAACTTACAAGGGCCATCGATCCCATGTGAAGTAAAAAGTGGCTGCACGTCATCTTCCTAAATCCTGAAAAAATCATCTTAAAACTCCGAGTGAATTTTAAAGGATCTGAGAACAACTGAAGACTGTCTACCTCTTTTATCTGTGACCAGCGTATGATCCAGTGGATTGTCCATGCCTGGGTACTCCATTCCAAACGATAGCTGCTGGATGTGATGTGTCATGTTGAACTGTGGAAAGAATAAATGGCCCAAAACTTTAAAGGGGCACTATAGGTCCTGAAATCCCCAAAAATTTCATGTTTTGGATTGTTTACTTATCCAATTTCAAACATCTGGTTGAAAGGAAACCAACCTAATGTCTTACCGTTCCCGAGAAAGAGGAAAAATCCCCGGTTGTTTACATCGGACACGACTGAGTACTAATAGTTTTTTTGTGTCGTTCACATATAGTGTATGCCAAAAAAAGAGGTTTCTTCAACGTCCGCAAAACGCGAACACTTTCCGAATGAAATCACAACAAGCATCCACAAAAACGCCCAGTTTTGAAAGGATAGTTGTGTGGATGTTTATATCCTACTTTTAAATGTTATTTCCGAATAACATCATTTCGTTCAAAGCGCGTTTTGTAGCCCAATTGGGCTGTTCCAGGACCTAGTGTCCCTTTAAAGAAACAGATTGGAACATATGGGTAGTAGCAACAATATCTGCAAATATGTCGTGTTAATGCTCAGTTTTGCTGGATTATTTCAGAACCATTGTTAACTCAAAACAGAGTTCACTCTGAAAATAACCATAACCTTGTCTGTTAAAAACACTTTAATAAACACATTGCGAGTTTATGGTGAGCAGGCCCAGATTAAGTGTTTCGTAGGCCCTAGGCACCAGTGTTCCATAGGCCCTTCTCCGCCCTAGGTACTGGCACCAAATTCAAAGTACAAAGCACTGTACAAATCAAGTAAGCCGGGCCAAACTGGTGTAGGTCCTAGCTCTAAAAGCCTGTTATACCTAGCACAAAACTTTTTAAAAACATTTAAAAACTCTGTGCGTGGGTGTACATGTTCATCTTCTCAAACCAGAGAACAAAAGAGAACAATATCGTCCACGAATCCCGGCATATGTCCACGATTGGGGTCGTGAAAAAAAACTAAGGGAGTCTTCCTAAAAAGTTAAGGTACAAACAAAAGAGGGACGATGGGACGTGAACACACGCTTGGGTGTGTGTGTGTGGGCATGGAGGAATTCTCCATGGTGTGGGTAGGCCTATTGGTTTTATGGCACACAATTTTCGTAGGCCCCCGAATTTTTTCGTAGGCCCTAGGCACAGTGCCTACTGTGCCTATTGGATAATCCGGGCCCGATGGCGAGCCAATGAGACAAAAACTGACCTTGTCTCCAATGAAGGGTTGCAAGTCGTGGACATGGATGTGATGCTGCTGGAAACTCTTACCGGGAGCAAAGTGGAAATTACCTGCAACCTGAGACCAAACAAAACATTAAAATCAACCTTAACTCCCTAGGCATTTTTGCTAGTATGCAGCCTCAATCCTGCAACATCCTCCAACTGCCTCCATGTAAAAATTGCATACAGGGTGAGTAAAAAAACCCAAAACCCATATGTCGGGACTATTGTTTTATTGAAGTTCTGCATGTAGCACTTTCAAAATCTAGGATATGAAAGCCCAATTCATAAGCTTTCTTATAGTACAAGAATCATTCAAATCACTCATGTACTTTTCAAGTTCTTTTCGAATTTTAAACACAACCAATGTTTTAAGGTTCTGTCCATGGATCACCATAAAGGTGTGCATTCTTTCAGCAAAACGAATATATAATTCACACACATCCCTATGTGATTTCTTTTTGTTTTGTTGAAAGAACACTGAACATTTTTGTGATCCGTGGACAGAACCTTAAAACGGTGGCTGTTTAAAATTCCGTAACTTGAAAAGCCAGTTACTTGGGTAAGTATCCCATAAGGCCATGCAATAAACATGGCTGCCAACGTGACGTCTGGCTGGTGCCTGAGACCGTGTCTGAAACGGGCTTCCAGAGCTACGGCTATACGTCTATTATCAGCGCGTCCCCGCGTATTTTCAATGGGCGTGGACCTAGACCTAGCTCTAGACAGTTGATTCGGATGTGGCCGAAGTTCAACTTTCCAGCTCTTGCACGAAACTTTACCCGAAAACCGTTCGTTTATTTAGCTCCACTGCGCATGTCTGTCATCACGCGAGGAGCTAGGCACGAGTAAGGTGGACGAAGTAATCGAACGCACTCCTTGTAATTTTCAGACTTTATTTACACCAAGTGATTCAGTCAGTCCAGGGAAAGCACAATTTCATGATGTTTTCATTTCTCGTTCTGTGACGTTACCTTGTTAACTTCCAGATAGCCAAACATCTGGCAACCTTCTCCCTTCTGCGCGTCAATCTGATCACTCCAACCCTCACGGTTACATTGTACGATCTCAGTCGCCATATTGAAGGCCCAGCCTTTCCGTCTATAAGCCTCGCGTACGTCCTCACAAGTGTTACAACATCTGTACAAGAAAGAAACAGATTTTAATGTATAAAAGTTTTGTAAGCATTATTCGAGTATCTGTTTGCCCTTTTCTTTTCTCTTTATCAATGTGGAGTTTTTTGTAAGGCGGCTGAACGCTATGCCCCAATCTATAACAAATTGGCTCAAGTTGTCTACTGACACTCGTTCAAATGGGCCATGTTTTGTCGACCGTAAACTTGAATAATGGACTCTCCACGGCAAACTCTTGGTGGCGCACTGCATTGTGAAACACCCGAATTTCTAAACAACCTTTTACAGTCGGCCAATATGACCACTTCTGAAAAGAAGTACATGTATTCTAATCTCAATACTTCTTGACAAACCTTCCCTCAGTATTCTAAAAACTTAATGTGAAAAAGTCAGTTCGGTATTCCAAAATAGTCTGGTGCACCAAGATTCGACGATTTTTTTTCAGGATAACCGCGGAAGATAAATGCACACTAGGCTATGGGGGTCATGGTAACCAAATCTGCATTCTGTGCAATTTTTCATGCAATCGAAAAGACATGGAACTTTTGTTTACACTAAAGTTTTGACACACAAGGCACCTAAAAACACCGCGCTGTTCAAACGTTTTTGCAAAATGTTATACTTCAGAACACGATGATCTCTTCAATTTTGCTGGTGCCCCGCTATGCTTTTGCACGCATGCAATGACATTTTTATCCCGAAAGAAAAATTGGCAAATCTTGATGAGCACATGCGCAGTTTGATTACCGAACTTACTTATTGTAGGCATTATATTAAAAAACAACTGTAAATAAAACTCCAATTTTCAAATCATTTTATGGGCACAGAGAAAAATCAAATCCCAGAGGGAAATTACATTTTGTTTCTTCCCAAAACTCACTCTAATTCCTTGGTTTCTGCTCCGTAGCAGCTTTCACATCTGGAAGGATCCAATTCTTCCTTTTTGGAAAGCTTCAAGACAAAAAAGAAAAATAAAGTAAAATAAAGTACCACAACAATAGGTTAGTTGTACTCTTAAAGGGAAAATACAACATTTGCAAACATCAAAAAATAAAACTACCAAATCATTTTGAAATACCTTGCTGGACTGTTAGTGAATGACAGTGTAAAGCATCCTGTAAAATCATGGCACCTGGTATACTGTCATTTTCAAGAAAAGTGGTATTTTTGTATCAATTTCCAACGCTGATCGGCCGACCAGCGTTGGAAAAAAACTGGCTTTTTTTCAAATACTGGCCCCAGTTGGCCATCGCACTTGTTTGCAATGGATTACACACCTATGAACGGGTACAAGCCAGCTAGACTGGTTCCCTGACCTTACCAATCCCCAATGTATGTAAACTGCTCTGTTTCTTCTGAAATGTAGTCAGGGAACCAGACTACAGGAAAATGATTGTTTTTCTTGGTTTTTATAGCATTTTCGAACCCAAAACCTCAAAAAAGTTAGTGTAACTATATTTGCTATATATTTCCAACCCCCCAATTCCATCCATTTCTGAAAATTACAGCAAAAGCAAATGATGTATATTCCCTTTAAAAGGGAAAATACAACATTTGCAAAAATCAAAAAACACAACTACCAAATCTTAATTACATTTTTTAATGAAATACTTTACATGGCACCTGGTGTGCAGTCATTTTCAAGAAAAGTTGTATTTTTGTATAAATTTTCAACACTGGTCGGCCGACCAGCCTTTGAAAAAAAAATGGCTTTTTGAAATGCTGTCCCCAAGTGACCATATTTAGTCAGTCCATGTTTTGTTTGCAATCGATTACACGCCTATGATGGGTACAAGCCAGCTAGACTGGATCCCTGACCTTACAATTCCCTGACGTTTATAAATTGTTCCGTTTCATCTTTAAGTGGGGTCATGGAACCAGACTATAGGAACATGATTGTTTTTTTGATTATTCCAGCATCTATGAACACAAAACTTAAAACAAGTCAGTGTAACAAATATTTGCTATAAAATAATAACCCCCAAATCGATCCATTTTCCGAAAATCACAGCGAAAGCAAATGTTGTATTCCTTTAATCAGATATACACATCAATTACAAAAATCACAATAAATACTTTGATGAAAGCAATCTTTCTATTTCTGCCTTTTGATTAAATGTGTGGGCAAGAAACCAGTTTCTCTGCCCTTCTGGAGAAATTTAAAATAGATTAGAAATCTTGTCTGTGCCTCAAAAAATAACTGACTTAGATATATATATTAATTGCCTCCACGTACAAATCACAGTTATTTTTAAGAATTACTGTTTTTCCATCTTCATTACTTTACTCCTCTTGCATAGTATTGACTGACAAAATTGTTACAGAAATTCTTTACTTTTGTCCCACGCTTGCACTTAAAACAATGATATGACCCCGAACAGCTTTCTTCAAGTGGTCATAATGGCTACTTGCAGTGGCATGAATATTCATGATATGTAAATTTTATGTATGGAGCGCCTAGTGTACAAAATTTGGGGCAGTCACAAAAACCAAGCTTCAAATTTGCTTGTGGGTAGACTCAACAAGTGTTGATTAATTACATTGGCAGTGTAATCTTGATCTTAACCCTATATAACTTAGGCCCTTTTTCCTAGGAACCATCCTCATTCCTCCAAAATCCTCCAAAATTGTGCACTTATGTTCAAATGCAGCATACCCAGCGCCTCAATCCTTCAAAATCGTCAGACAGTCCTGCCTCCCAATCATCCTCAATCCTCTTCAATCCTCCTTTTCTTCAAACACTGTTCATCGTCAATCCTCCAAAATCTTCATGTGCTTTAACACCATTCATCCTCAATCCTCCAAAATCTTCATGTGCTTCAACACCATTTATCCTCAATCCTCCAAAATCCTCCTAAATGTTTAAATGAAGGATACCCAGTGACTCAATCGTTCAAAATCGTCAGACAGTCCTGCCTCTCAAAATGCATTCATCCTCAATCCTCCAAAATCCTCCTCTTCTTCAAACACCATTCATCCTCAATCCTCCAAAATCCTCTAAAATCCTTCAACACCATTCATCCTCAATCCTCAAAAATGCTCATGTGCTTCAACACCATTCATCCTCAATCCTCCAAAATCCTCCAAAGACCGCCAGGTGGATTTTGAAGGATTGAGAAGGGTAAGTTTCATTTTTACCTTAATGAGTTTTTCGGCCGCATCTTTATCTTCTTCTCCAAGTTTGACGGTTTCTTCTTTCTCGTCGATGGGTTTACCCTTGGCGTCTAACCTCCTCCGATAGATGTTAAGATCCACGTCCAGTTGGTGCTCCCCTGATACATCCATTGCATCCAAACTTATAACTGAAAAAGATATAATACAAAAATCCAGCATATTTAACAATCATACACATTAGGCTTACCAGGCATAACCAAGAGTGCATGGCTCTCTGTCCACGCTGAATAGACAAACTAAGAATTTCCATCCACGATGACAAAAGGACCAGAATGCTTCTTGCAAGACTGGAACGGGAACAATTTATACAATCTTTTGTACGTTTTAACCCTAACCGCCCTGAATCCTCCAAAATCCTTTTTGCAAATTGGAGGAATTTGCAGGATTGAGGTTACATGGCAAAAGTGCGTTGCTGATTTCGGAGTACGCACTGTGTCAAGGTCTTGGGCCGGACCTTGTGTTGTTTATGCTCAGTCCTTGATTATACTCGACATCCTCCGCACTGCTCCAGGATGTCACTGCCTCTGCCTATTGACAGTCATAGCTGGAGGATTTTGCAGGATTCAGGCAGTGGTCGACCCTCCATGGACCATATTCAAGAAATAACGGAGGAATTTGCAGGATTGAGGCTATAGGCCTATGCTATTTTTCCATGAGGCCAATTGGAGGATTTTGCAGGATTGAGGCTATATCCTAGCAAATTAAAATACTATTTAACCCTAACCTTCCCAAATCCTCCCAAATCCTCTTTGCAAAATGGAGGATTTTGCTATTATGGCAAAAATGTGTGGGTGATTTTGGAGGGTGCACTGTATCAAGGTCTTGGGCCGGACCTTGTGTTGTTTATGCTCAGCCGTGTAGAAATTTAGGCCGGCAGTATACTTAAAAATCCTCCGCACTGCTCCAGGATGTCACTGGCTCTGCCTCAACACAATGACAGTGATTGCTGGAGGATTTTGCAGGATTCAGGCAGTGGTCTCCCCTCCAAGGACCACATTCAAGAAGTAACAGAGGATATTGCAGGATTGAGGCTGTGTGCAATTCTTACATGGAGACAGTTGGAAGATTTTGCAGGATTGATGTTGCGTCCTAAAATATGCCTCTCATTCAGCAAAATAAAAAAAAAGATTCTTTTTTTGTTTCTGGCTTTAAAAAAAAAAATTCCTTCATGATACTTACAGGCACAGGGCATTTTCGGAAAAATGACATCCATATTGATTCTGAGTTTTTCCCCTCGTGTGTTATCGACGTACAGCTCTGGTATAACCTGTGAAAGAATGGAATAATAAGTTGGGATTTGAAGTTGGCAAATAGCAAAGTTCAACATACAAAATAATCAATTTTTTTTTTTTGGTGGAAAACCGACGTACCATTCGAAATCAATGATGTGTTATGATGAAGAAATTAAAGGGTAGGAAAGAGGATTGGTGAAGAATTAATGGCAAATAAAATAAAAATACAATAAAATCATCATTTGTCATATTTTCACTGAATGAACAGCTGATAATAACAAACCATTACATACTGTGTTTTTCAAAGAATCGGAAAAAGTTCCATGCTGGATCACCACTTTACCTGCCGCCAAACACATCAATTTTCACCTCACCTTGTGATTTCACCCAAGAGGAATCCATGAAGCCTCAGCAATGCGAAAAAACTTTAGGAAAAATGTGTTTTTAGAGCACACTTGGGATGCACACGTCGTGCAGAATTAAGTTGAAGCAGCCGGTCAAAACTGATTGAAGTGTCTGGAAGACAGCGGTATGTTATACGCATGACATCGACAACCATGACAACGCATCAGCCGGCCAATGATAGTGCAATACGTCATTATTTTCTCATGAATATTTAGTTTATTTCAATAGATACTTCAAATACGTCCAAAGATTGATCACTGCAAGAGCGATCGTGCACGGCCAAGCGGTTAAAAGTCTCGTGTTTCAAGCAAGAGTCTGAGGTTTGAATCTCGATGAAGTAAGTGACTGATTAATAAATAGGAATAAAGGAAAGGGTGAGAGTAGAGGAGGGAAAGTGGAGGGAATAACCGTAAAGGATGCAACTTTTGGCGCTTGAAAATTAATTGAAAAAAGTGGTGATCCAGTAAAGAATTGTTTCCAAAGAATCATTATTTGCCAGTCAATCCTAACTCAACAGAATCCACACTCACCTCTTTTGTCAAGTAATAGTTGAGTTCTGACATAAACAACACAGTCATGAGGATGGCACTGATGATGGTAACTACAAATATAAAATAGAAAAGAAATGCAAATCTTGCCTTCTTCATGAATTTGTTTAGGCAATTCTTCCACCCTACCCTAACAACAGACAACCTGAGAACGGTACTAGTTTATTGTAGCTAGGTTGAACCACTGCCACGGTCATTGGTGGCGCTATTTTCATGCCCAAAATGACCTAATTTTTTGTTACCACCTTTTTTGAAATGGTTTGACATGGAGTATCACATACAGGGGTACTTTCACTTGGCTCCAAACATCAATAAAGAGAATTACACTGGTGCACATGTAGTTGACCTTAGAAAGTTTGGTTTGATATAAAATCACATTGCCAAAAAAAGTTGTGGATTCCCCATAACAGCGATACCGTTATTTGTGTGTAAATTTCCCATACGTTTGTAGCCCCATAAATGTGGCCAATTTACTGGAATACCTCCGTAAATAAAGGCCACACATCCACCATGTACAAAAACATGTCAAACATTGTCAAATTTTGATTTTCACATTTAGGCTTAGGCCGGGTAAAAAAAAAAAAAGTTTCTCGTCCGGGGTTTTTGAAAAAAGGGAGGAAGCGGGGCTTTTTATTTTTTATTTTTTTATTTTGTTCAAGATGACCGCCTTTTCAAAATTTCCTGCAACCGTTGGTGTTCCACTGTTCAAAGTCACTTTAAAGATGAAAGACAAGTTGGACAAGAGAACTGAACATATTTACAGTGTCATTTATAGTTGTATTGGTATTGGTATTTATTTTCCGATGAATTTGTAGACTTTTTCAGTGTTTTCTACTACATTTTTCAAAAATAAAAAATAATAAAAAAATCCAGGCGGCCTCCAAAAAGCAAGCGGGCGGGGACGAGAAACTTTTTTTTTTTTTTTACTTCGCCCTAGTTTGTAGTTTAGTTTTGCTTTAGAAGCATACTCACCCTCTTTATAGGCTAATCAGAAAGTGCTGCCTTTTTCAGATATGTCTATTTTTAGAGAAATTTCCAGATTCGTTTGCACACGTTTGCGTATCAAAATTTCAACATGAAATTTCACAAAAATTAGACTTCTGAAAAAGGCAGCATTTTCTGAATAAAGAGGGTGAGTATGCTTCTAAAGCAAACATAAAATTATACAAATTAGCCTAAATGTGAAAATCAAAATTTGACAAAGTTTGACATGTTTTTGTACATGGTGGAAGTGTGGCCTAGTAGTCTAGTATAAATTGGCCACATGGGGCTAATAGTTTGTGGTAATCCTTACTTTTAGGACCCCGTTCCTATATAGGAAGGGACAGACTCACCAAAACAGTTGACTAAATGACACTCAAAATTGACATTCTGATACTTCTTGGCACATCTGAACAATTGGCAATGACACCTTCTTGAATATCCAGCAGGTTTAATTTTGTGGAAAGAGGGCAGGCTTTGATTTATTAGGGACATTCAGGGGTAAAAGACGACGATGACAACCAGAAAACAGACTCAAAAACCAAGATGGCAAACGTGAAAGCTCGATGTGATGAAAGCTCGATGCTGATTGGCAGATAAAAAATAAACATCTTATTTATTTTAGTCTGGTTCCCAGACCAAAAGATTCAGGAATGGTCAGAATCTTTTGGTCTGAGAACCAGACTAACTTATTTATTTTTAGTCTGGTTCCCAGACCAAAAGATTCAGGAGTAGTCAGATTCTTTTGGTCAGGGAATCAGACTAATTAATTTGTTTAGCAGCCAATCAGCATCGGGCTTTCATTATGTAGGGCTTTCACGCGTGTGAGAACTACAACATGCACGTCTGACTAACTGCGAAAAAAGGTAGGGAAGTCACATTTTCTTCGAAAATGCTTTCTAAACTACAACTAACATGAGTTTATATGAAGAAAAAAGACTACTGGGTACTGGGCAGACATCTGCAAAAGTCAGTTTTGAACAGAACTCGTAAAAAATAGAGGTGTCCTAAAACTTTAGGATTACCACATGTGTACACATAATCAACTGACGTGGTCACTTTTAAGTTTTATTTCAGCCAAATTGAGCATCATTTTAAGGCCCAAAAAATAATTTAAAATTGCAATAATTTCAGAACTGCTTGCCCAATGAAGCTAGGAGACCACTTGTTTAAATGCATTTTGAAAGCTCTTTGAGACAAAGTCAATGAAAGTAAATTCTATACTATCGAATCTACTTTGAAATTTGTTGATTCTATAGCTATTTTACATACATCATGACAATTGATATCATTTGCCATGTATGATATAGCCTGAGCCTGAGGCCTAGGCACAACATAGTCCGAGTAACTTGGACCCAACTTATCGCCTTTTTTAACATTTGGACATGGTCTGGCGATAGTAAGGTCCAAGCTAATACCGCGACCTAGACAACACAGTCCCAAAAACCAACATTTTCCAACAAAAAACATCAGATTTCACCTTCAAAACGGCCTCCAAATTACTAGATATGCCACCTGAGGTACAAGTAGACATCAATAATTAAGATGGTTGTACTGAAGTTTACTTACGATCCGGAAAAAAAGTGAAATTTTCCGTTCATTTCGGAGAGCTCCCCTCGCGATCTTGAACACGTTAAATTACCGATCGTGTTTAATGTTTGAACGACGCGATTTCTTCTACATGCCCAGCGTACTTTCGATGGTCCCCGTATCCAGAGTGCGATTCCGTTACCGAGCGCACGCGATGCATCGATTATGATAATGAGTCACGTTTGTAAATACATACATGTGCATTTCGAACTGTAAAAAGGAATCGGGAACCAACTTGAACTGGTACCCGCCATAAAAGCTGCGCTAGTTCCCGACTCCCTATTATCGTTTGAAATGCACATGTGTTTACAAACGTGATCCAGTCTACTCATTATCATAATCGATGCATCATGGACCATCGAATGTACGCTGGGCATGTAGAAGAAATCGCGTCGTTCAAACATTAAACACGATCGGAAATTTAACGTGTTCAAGATCGCGAGGGGAGCTCTCCGAAATGAACGGAAAATTTCACTTTTTTCCGGATCGTAAGTAAACTTCAGTACAACCATCTTAATTATTGATGTCTACTTGTACCTCAGGTGGCATATCTAGTAATTTGGAGGCCGTTTTGAAGGTGAAATCTGATGTTTTTGTTGGAAAATGTTGGTTTTTGGGACTGTGTTGTCTAGGTCGCGGTATTAGCTTGGACCTTACTATCGCCAGACCATGTCCAAATGTTAAAAAAGGCGATAAGTTGGGTCCAAGTTACTCAGACTAGGCACAACATATGTTAATTGTTACTTGCTACTAAAAGAAGTGCTAGGCATACCATCATGACCATACGGCTTCAACAATCATGATGTTGTGCCCATTCTTGAAAATCACGCATTCTCGAGAATGGGCCTGCACATTCTTGAGAATGTGCAACTGGATCCTTGCTCAATCTTGGCAAAAAATAACTCTTCCAGATTGAGCGCACATTCTTGAGAATGCGCGACAAGATAACGGTCTTGTCGATGCCGAGCACCGGCTGCGCTTGGCAAGTCTAGCTGAATCCTCGTTCACTGATTCTCAATAATTATACTGTTGCAACGAAAGGCACTGAAAAATAGAGTGAAAGGCGTATTGATATGGGGGGGGGGGGGGAACCGGGAAAAATAAGAGACATAATAATACTAGTGCAAAGAATTCTGATTTTTGGGATAATAAAAGGGGGGGGGGGGACGTAAGAATGAAGAATGTGAAGAATGAGAATGAATACTGCGACATCCCATAGTGTTAATGCTATTTTCCATTTAAATTGCCACCAATTTATTGTTCACACCCCACCATAACGTCGCAGAGCTGGATTCTATCTTGTCAAAAGAGCAATTTTGGCAGCTTCTGGACATGGTTTTTTTTTTCGTGGCACGCATATGATACATGCAGGGACTTGTAACTTGTCTAGCCTAAACAAAGCACTTCCCAGACTAGTTCCCAGTCCTCCGTTATTACAAAACTTCCCATAGTGGGCAGAAAAAAGCAATAATAACAGGTTTAATTTGATTCAAATTATCTTAGTTATATACGAGTACAGAAGCATGGAACATTTCCTTTCCTCTTTATATGAATTGTTTCCCTTTTAACCGCTATACAATTCATTTAACATAATTATGTCGTGCAATGTTTGTTAAGATTGGGCAAAATTCATAAAATGTGCACGTGATATTCCCACCCAATCTTAAGAATGAGCGCTCATTCTTAAGAACGCGTGCTCGTTCTTAAGAATGGGCGCTCATTCTTAAGAATGCGCGCCCATTCTCGAGAATGCGTGATTTTCAAGAATGGGCACAACAATGACAAAAAGTCAACGTTCAACACCGGCACCGGATAGCTTGAGTAACTCCAGCTGACATGCTCCATATTCATTCACATGTAACGCTGGAGGAAGGCCTGTGCGTTTCCATGTGGTAGTAAGAGACCCTAAAAAAATGGCCTCTCCCAAAAATTGTTCATTTTCACCTCTAATATCCCACCCCAGAGTTCACCCACATACCTCATACATTCAGCAGTCATTTACGAAGCCTAATGATCGACTTGAAACAAGACCACAAAAAAAAGGTGAAAAATCTTGACAATTTCGGTGGCTTGTCCGTAAAAATACGCCAGTTCCAACGGCTGTCTTCCATTTTGTTTTGCTAATTATATTAATGTATGCATGACGTGTGACATCAAAAATCGGCGCGCGCGCGATGTATGTGGATACCACACCGCTTTCAGGCGTCGCAAGTGAGTTTAATTTTCGTCTGGTGCGTTATCACGGAAAGCAAGACAACGAGAATGCTCTCCACGGCAACGCACCAGACGAAAATTGAACTCACTTGCGACGCCTGAAAGCGGTGTGGTACCCACATACATCGCGCGCGCGCCGATTTTTTGATGTCAACGTCATGCATACATTAATATAATTAGCAAAACAAAATGGAAGACAGCTGTGGAACTGGCGTATTTTTACGGACAAGCCACCGAAATTGTCAAGATTTTTCACGTTTTTTTTTTGTGGTCTTGTTTCAAGTCGATCATTATTCGCAGTGGCTATTGTTACGGCAGCCGTAACGCATTTCCCATTTTCTATCGTTACGGTAGTAGTACTGCAACTTTTATAAAAACATGAGAAGAAAATATAAATAAGAAGGAAAAAAGTGAATTTGAACGTTATAAAATTCGGACTTTATTTCCCTTTTAAAAAAAACCTCCAAAGCCTCAGGTTAGAAAAGGAAAAAAATTTGAGTGCAAAACTGAGATGCGAACCCGCAACCTCGCGGTGCAAAATCCTACCCGCTATCGACTGAGCTGTCGCACTCTTCACCAAAACACGGGAAAACAAATAATTATATACCTGCGTGCGTATCAAAAAAGAATCGTTGAGGGCGCCAAACAACGAATGCCGTAACGATAGCCACTTCGATCATTATTAGGCTTCGTAAATGACTGCTGAATGTATGAGGTATGTGGGTGAACTCTGGGGTGGGATATTAGAGGTGAAAATGAACAATTTTTGGGAGAGGCCATTTTTTTAGGGTCTCTTGCTACCACATGGAAACGCACAGGCCTTCCTCCAGCGTTACATGTGAATGAATATGGAGCATGTCAGCTGGAGTTACTCAAGCTAGCACCGGATTGCATTTGCAGAAACACTTTGAAACACACTCACCTGCTGCACCACTAAATGTTCTCACCCTAAAATCTTCCAGAGTCTTGGGATAGGCATCAAACTGTCGCAGCCTGTTAAACACACTTTTTGTGTCCATATTGTTGAACAAGAAAGACTAAAAACACTGACAAACATACGTTCTGGCACTCAGGTAACCCCCTTCCGCATGTGAAAACACAAAACACCGTACGCGATACGGCACTGAAAAATGTACGTGTTCTTAAATTGGTGCATCGAAGCAAACTGTCCCGCCTCATTATTTGTTTTCAAACTTTAAGCCGGATACCTGAAGCTTCGCACGTAAATTTAATTAAATTTGAAACAACTTTCAAGACTCAACTTACATTAAAATTTGATATGAAATTTTTTGAAATAAATTATTTTAAGGTTAATAGTTTTTTTAAGTGAACATTGTTGTTAGCAGCACCCTTGTCCCAATCCCGTCGATTGAGGGCTCACATCCATGCACCGGACATAAACAAGTTCACGTCGGCGCCGTGCACGTCCTGTCATTTTTGTTCCCTTTTCATTTCGTTATTTTCAGTATCTTTCCTTTCAAAATGACGGCTGCCATTGGAACTTCAAGGTATTTGACTGTAAATAAGTAAACTTTATGTGTGTTTTATTTGTTTTTAATCGAAGAAGGGGGGTAAAAGGAGGTCGTGCTTTATACTGCTTGAATCACTTTTTGCAAATGTACCCGCCCCCTTTTTTGCGGGAAGCTGAGAGAAGTCAAAATGTCAGCATGGTCCGGAAATAGAAAAGGAAAGAGTTCCATACCTGGCATCCCTTGAGGAAGTAATGTAGTATCCAGACGCCACTTCAGTGGTTGTGTACAAATTCTATACTACAGAGAGAGTCCAGGAATTTTAAAAGTATTTCCTAACATAAAGTAACAAAATTGGAAATGTCTCTCAGTCTCAGACTCAGTCCCAGATTCATGTCTTTTTAACATTTTTGCAAAATTGAAAATGATTAATGAATGATTGGAAAAAAAATACGGTAGGCCTAATCCTTATTTTTATGACACCTCTATTTTTACGAGTTCTGTTCAATACGACTTTTGCATGCAGATGACTGTCCAGTACCAAAGTGACTTTTGCAGGCTAAAGCAGTCTAATTTCTTCAGATAAACTCATGTCAGTTGTCATTTTGAAAGCACTTTCAATCAAAGAAAATGTGACTTTTCTACCTTTTTTTGCAGTTCGCCATCTTGCTTTTGAAATATATTTTCTGTTTGTCATCGTGGTCTTTTACCCCTCATAAATCGAAAGCCTGCCCTCTTTCCACAAAATTAAACCTGCTGATATTCAAGAAGTTGTCATTGCCAATTGTTCAGATGTGTCAAGAAATATCAGAATGTCAATTTTGAGTGTCATTTAGTCAACTGTTTTGGTGAGTCTTTCCCTTCCTATATAGGAATGGGGTCCTAAAAGTAAGGATCACCGGAATTCTTTCTGAAAATACAAGTGTAATCAAACATTTTCCCCAAGAATTTGTTTCTCAGATTTGAACTTTGAAGGTCCATCATTTTAGATAGACTGTTCAGTTTTTTGTATATACCATTGATATGATTACTAGGGAAATCAAGAATAAAGAAACAGGACTGGACATCTTTGTGCCAGAGTATCGCGAAGTCAGCGGCATGTTGACGAGCTACGAAGAATACCACGTCATTGTCATCACTAACTTGGCGTACTTCAAAACAATCAGAAATAAAGCTGATGACAATGTACAGTTCATGGTAAGAAGGCCTACAATTAATCTTTGAAATTTGCATTATTTTATAGCAAAGTGCTTTTTTGTTAGGTTTAGGCCAAGTAAAAAAAAAATGTTAAGCGTCCCTGCCCGCTTCCTTGTAGGAAGCCGCCTCCTTTTTTGTTTGTTTTTTTTTTGAAAAAAAAAACCATGAAAAAATGATAAATTTTAAACAGTGACATCATTTTGGCCTCTTTCTCTGTTGCATCTAGCCCATATAAAGGTGGTATGGCATGTCCTGAGTCCAAATTGCGGCCATTTAAAAAAAAAAAGCTGGCGGCCATCTTGAAAAATAGCTCGGCCAGTCGTTTTGCAAAAAAAACCCCAAAAAACAAAGGGCCTCCTCCTTCCTTTTTTTCAAAAAGGCAGGACGCAACAAAATATCAACTTTACAAAGGCCAAATTTTTTTTATAGTTCTGCTTCCGGTTACCCTACCTACCCTATTTTGACAGCCCCTACCCTAATTTTTTTTTGGGGGGGGGGGGGGGGAAGGGGGAAAAAATTACCCTTGACTACACGCAGACACCTCCATAAGATCGTGCAAAAAAATTGCCCCCCCCCCCCAAAAAAATTCCCTACCTACCTACCCTTTTTTCATATACCATGTATTTGGAAGCACAACTTAAATTTTTTTTGGCCTAAGTCTCAGTTTGAAGATTACCTCCAAAGTCTCAAAAATTCAAAATCGTCTTTGATGGAAGTCACTTTATTTAAATTGTTAGTAATTTTTTTTCATCGGTATCTACAATCCCGTCTAAAATGGTTGGGACACTTGGAAATAACCTTAGCCTTCCACGGTCACCCACTCCCCCGCTCCCCCGGTCAATGTTGTTCTCTGCAGCTGATGGAGCACACACCACGCAATGAGAGACAACATTGACAGGGGGCCAGGGGGTTGGGGGCCAAGTGAGATTTGGCCAGGATTGTAGTTTTTTGTCATTGCTTTCATTTTCGTCCAGGTTGTGAAACGATACGGCGATTTCGAGGCACTGCACAAGGCTCTGAGTGAGCGCTTTCCAGCGACGATCTTGCCTGATCTGCCACGCAAAGTTTTTATGATGAAGGACAGCAAGCCTCAGGAGCGGAGACAATGCTTCGATAATATCATGCGCTTCATTGCCACGAGTACTAAAGTCTGCTGTAGTAATCTGGTTCTGACATTCCTTGGTAAGACCAAACGCAACTTTAATTCTACAGGGTGAGTAAAAAAAAACGAAACCCAAATGTCGGGACCGTTGTTTTAGTGAAGTTCTGCATGTAGCACTTTCAAAATCTAGGATATGAAAGCCCAATTCATAAGCTTTCTTTTAGTACAAGAATCATTCAAAGCACTCATGTACTTTACAAGTTACGGAATTTTAAACACAACCACCGTTTTAAAGTTCTGTCCACGGATCACAAGAAGGTAAGTGTTCTTTCAGCAAACCAAACCAAATCACATAGGGATGTTTGTGAATTGTTTTTGTTTTGCTGAAAGAACGCACACTTTTTGTGTGATCCGTGGACAGAACTTTAAAACGGTGGTTGTGTTTAAAATTCCGTACATTGAAAAGTACCAGAGTGATTTGAATGATTCTTGTACTAAAAGATAGCTTATGAATTGGGCTTTCATATCCTAGATTTGAAAGTGCTACATGCAGAACTTCACTAAAACAATAGTCCTGACATTTGGGTTTCGCTTTTTTTTACTCACCCTGTACTAGTCTTGTTTCAAGTCATTCTGACACTGACAGGATATTCAATAAAACAACTAGTTTTTGAGACTATAGGTCTCTCTCAAAGATGGCCATCTCTATAGGAGAACTGCAACTGCGTATTTTACGTATATCAAGCACACATTACAAAGTTTTGAAAATGTTCCCAACACGCCCGCTTGCTGCGAAATACGACGAAGCTGATGCGCGGTATGCAAGTTTACGCTCAAAATGCCGACATGGCCGATACACGTGGCTGGTCTGTAGGAAATGACGTCATTTGAGAGAGACCTATTGTAGAATTTGCTGCTAATTTTGAAGAATATTGTACAATTAGCTCAGAATTTAATAATTTCCTTACAATTTCTTTAGATTCGGGGGATTTCCTCAAAATTTCCTTAGTATTTTTAATTTCCTGAGAAATTCCTTCAAAAGTAAAAAATGTCCTTAAAATGAGGAAATTTCCTTAAAAGTGGAAGCATACTGGATAGACTTGTGACAACAGTTAAGGATTTATGATGGACTCAACTACACCACTGGAGATGGTTACAGTGCTACTTCTTTAAACAGGCATGGACGTCAATCTTTGGGGAAGGGGGGGACAAGTCCCCCCTACTTTTTAAAGTAGGGGGATATCATATTGTTTGTCCCCCCCCCCACTTTTTCGTCCCCGAATAAGAATTGTAGCCTATTTTAAAGATTCGATAGCTCAGAATAGCTGATTCAATGACTCCAAACTCGAAAATGATGTTTAAAAGATGATCTTTTGCTAAAAAAATGGTTTTAGTTGTCAGAAATTGCCTCAGATTGCACTACAGAGCGTCTAGAATCCAAATTTTGTTGGGGCCCTTAAGCGGGCCCCGAACCCCACGCTGTAAGGACTTTGCGGTCGCATTTGTGCTCATCAATTGCCCCCCCCCCCACTTTTGAGAAGCGATTGACGCCCTTGTTAAACAGTGGAGAATATGACTTCCTTTTTTAACAAATAGGAGTTAAGCTGGAGAGGATTCACCAGATTGAAGAAGGAAAGGATGAGAATGACACCAAAGATGAGTCTGCAGACAATAAGGAGTTGCCACCAGGACCGGTCAAAAGAAGAAGTAAAATGCTCAGGTAATAGGAACAATAAATTATTCAGGAAAAATACAAAATAAAATAAATTTTTAAAGAAAATTTGTACGTGTTTTCTCAATAAATACTTCAATATATTTTCCCTGCTAAATTGACTTTTTAGGACAAATTATCACTTTCTGATGGCTGATAGGTCACTGAAGGGAAAAATTAATGATGGCCAGATATGGAAATCTTTCCAAATAGGGTATATGTTGCAAAAAAAGACGTGAAATCATATACATGGTTGGAAAGCCCACAACGTAAGCTTTCATTCGGTATGTAATAGAGCTCCATATAGCCCCTCCAGTTCTGGAGATATGACATATTTGCATATTAATGACTTCCTTAGAGTTTGAAAGTACACAACTGAGAAAACAGGCTCTGAACTAGCTGGCTCTGTTGTAGATTTGGGCACCCTGCACTCAGAATTGTTGTTTTTTACCCTCTTTACTCATCGAAATCAACATTTCTGTGAGTGAATCCTGAAACTTTAGGTATATAAAGATGTCATTCATGATAAAAAACGAACATAATCCCGGCGTTAAGTGGTTAAGTTGAATTAAACAAAGATGAAACATCTCTTCTGTCTTATCTTTCTGTAACTTTTTAATTTGTTTTTGCTGCTGTCTTTCAATGCTTAGTTCAGGGAGCCAGCAATCAAGCTTATTCAGTGATGAACCAGAAGACGAGTTTGATTTCTTCCAAGAGGACCCTAATGCCAAGGGATTAAATTCGGAGGACGTCGAGGATGACTTGTTCACCACAAACTCTGTCACGACGTCTAGTGGAGCAGCTAAAAAAGGTAAGTGACGTGACGATGCAAGTGGAGAAGATTGTGATGAATGTGTGTGGCTTGGATTATCTGTATCTGGATTGCTTGCAAGTTTTGAGAGTCTGGTAATCGTGTGATTGGGTGAAGATTGAGTATAAATCGGTGAGTGCAGAAACAAGACTTGATGAATTGTTTTCAGAGCATGGCGTACTTGTTCTACTAACCCTGAGGACCGACCCACAAAGGGAGAACAACAGATCCTTTTAGTCCTCGGGAGTTGGGTCTTTTGTTGGAAACGGTCCTCTGTGGTAGGTTTGTGTGCTTAGTCTATGGGAGAGTGTTATATTACAGGGACAAAGGAAACACAAAGCATTGTCCTCGGGAGTATAGTAAAACAAGAGTGTTCGTGTTTGTTTGAGTGAGTTGATTGTGTGGCTTTTGGGGAGAGAAAAAGTAAAAATTTTGGAGAAAGGTAAATACGCATTTTACGCAAGCTTCGGTTTTGCGCATCGGTCTCTTTAGATAATCACATTTCACATGAAACCAAGAGTTTGGTGCTGTAGATCGTTGCATAGAATAAAGCAGTTGTTACGTTCGGAAATTGCAAAAACGTTTGTAGTAACATGCTCCGAGGATGAAACCAGAACTGGCGGTTGGCTGTAAGCAGTTAGCTGATCCCTCAATAAGGTAAGCAGATTCCTTCCCTCTTTTTGAAAAAAACTAAGTGGTCAACTGAAGTAGGCCTACGTAATAAGTGTAGCATTCTGTTGTAGCATATATTCAATAAAAACCAATTAGTGTACCTCTCATCAGTGTTGTAGTCGAGTACTTTTTTCCGAGTACTGAGTACTGCTGAGTACTTAGGTTACCGAGTACGAGTACTTGTACCTCCGAGTACAAGTGCATGTCTCTGAGTATGAGTACTTGTATTTCCGAGTACTTGTACTTGTACTTCCAAGTACGAGCACTTGTACTTCCAAGTACGAGTACGAGTGCTTGTACGAGTACATGTATTTTTATTTCCGAATACGGCCATACGGCAAATGGTTTAATGTGCGTAATTGGCCCAGGCCAGTCAGACCGATTTACAGACCCACTCACAGCTAGCTGTTAAGTGTGTTTGTCTGGATGTGCACAGAGGAAAATCAGGAAATTTTGACTTCTCCGCAAGCCGATCAACCATTTCAAACTGAAAGTATGGATAAAATAAAACCGTGGTAAGTTAAGCTTTACCTTTTTTTTTCTTTTCTAGTACTGTTATTGAAGTACGAGTACTTAGATGATCGTGTACAATTTTGATATGTCGAGTACGACTTCTTTGCTGTCTGAGCACGAGTACCGTCATATGAGTACGAGTACTGTGACATTCGAGTACAAGTACGAGTACTCTTAAAAAAGTACTCGTGTAGTACTCAAGTGCGAGTACCGACTACGAGTACTACAACACTGGTACAAATACGTTCTTCCTATAGCATAGGGTTAATAATGGATCAGTCAAAGCAGAAGAGTACGTAGCATCCTTGATTGATGTTAAAGTCTGTAAATTTAGACATGGTCTACCAATGAAGAAGTAGTGAATGAAGAATGGAAATGGAGATTCCTTGTATTTCAAGAAGCACATCATTCTTTGTTAAGACATGCTTTAATGTCTTGGGCCATTTTGTGTCCAGGGGCCAGCATCTTAAAGTCCCTAGAATACCAGGAACTCTTTCATGCATCTTATTTCTCTTTACTCCCAAACCACTAACCCCAGATGACTTTATCGAGCAGGCACAATTTCATGAATACATCATGTTAATCTTAAGCTACCATCAATCTCTTTTCTCTGAACGTGCTCCCTTGGCCCCATTTGTCATTATTGAGAAAGCAAAATTCTATTAATACCTTCCTGCAAATGTCAATTCCCCCCAAATGACCATCTTCCCTGGTTGATCGAGTGGTCGTTTGAATAATGAAAAGTGGTTTCTGTATATCAGAAACAATTGGCCCGAAAATTTGTCTTCATTGATTATGAATAATGCATTGCGGAAAAGGTATACGTATATTCCCTACACTCAGATATTTGTATCGCAGTACATAGCTGTGTTTGAAACGGGATACCAAAACTACAAATTACTACGTCTCTTGTCAGCTTGTTCCCATGTAGTTGTAATGGGCGAAGAGCTGGACAGCGGCTGAAAGAGACAAGATTTGGACCAAGCGTTTGTCTCAATTCTGTTCAAGCTCAAAGACAATCCATTGCATTGAAGCACTGCATAGTGATGGGTTTTGATTGGTTAAGGAAGGTTCAAATTGAAAGTGTCTTAACAGGATTTTGCTTTTAGTATATCTTATGTCACCTGCTCCTTTTGGAATATTGCTATTTTGTGAAATGTTGTTCCATTGCATGTCAGAACTGTGTAGCATTGGGTTTTGATAGATCGATTAAGGGTTCATTTCAGATTTAACAGATTTGGCTGAAGTATATTTTTGTCACCTGTTCCATTGGAACATTGCCATTTTGTGCAAGTTCAAAGACGGTCCATGGCATTGAAGAAACGTGTATCGTTGGGTTTTGATAGATTGAGGAAATTCATTGAAATTGTTTAAACAGATTTGGCTGAAGTATATTTTTGTCACCTGTTCCATTGGCATATTGCTAATTTGTGCAAGTTTAAAAAATGATCCATCGTATGTAAGAATTGTGTAGCGTTTGGTTTTGAAAGATTGTGGAAGGATTTATCTAAAATGTCTTAACAGATTTGGCTGAAGTATATTTTTGTCACCTGCTCCATTGGAATATTGCCATTTTGTGCAAGTTCAAACTTCAAAGACAGTCCATGGCAAAACTGTGTAGTGTTGGGTTTTGATAGATTGAGGAAAGGTTCATTGAAGTCGTCTTAACAGATTTGGCTGAAGTGTATTTTTGTCACCTGCTCCATTAGAATATTGCCATTTTGTGCAAGTTCAAGAGCAACCCATGCATTGAAGAATTGTGTAGCGTTGGGTTTTCAAAGATTGTGGAAGAATTCATCTAAATTGTCTTAACAGATTTGGCTTAAGTATATTTTTGTCACCTGCTCCATTGGAATATTGCCATTTTGTGCAAGTTCAAAGACAGTGCATTGCATTGAAGAAGTGTGTGGCGTTTGGTTTTGAAAGACTGTGGAAGAATTCATCTAAATTGACTTAGCAGAGTTTGCTGAAGTATATTTTTGTTACCGGCTCCATTGGAATTATTGCCATTTTGTGCAAGTTCAAAGACAGTTTATTACATTGAAGAACTGTGTAGCGTTGGGTTTGAAAGATTGTGGAAGCATTCATCTAAATTGTCTTATTATAGCAGATTTTGCATTCATCTAAATTGTCTTATAGCAGATTTTGCTGAAGCATATTTTTGTTCCCGGCTCCATTGGAATATTGCCATTTTGTGCAAGTTCTAAGACAGTCCATTATTATTTATTATTATTATTATTAATTTCTTTCTGGTAATGAAACCAAGGATTCCTCAAAAGTACCCTAAGCACTGTAGCTCGAAAGCCTGAAGAAACCTGTAGAGAGAAGACAATGAGAAGAAATTACAGTTTGCCTTTCGCTCCATGGCATTGAAGAACTGTTAGTAGTGTTGTGTTTTGATGGATTAAGCAAAGGTCCAATCAATGTGCCTTTCGCTCCATTGAAATATTACTAATTTGTGCATGGTCAAAGAACAGGTACCTTTTTTGTCACCTGTCCACTTTGACTATTGCTACAAGTAATTTGTGAAAGGTCGGTTGTAATGATGATGTTAGGTTTAGCCTAAAGGATGGTTCACTGGGCGTGGCTGCCTAACGAACCACAAATGGACGCGAACTACTTCATTTTCGAATTGGCTATTTTCACCGAAGCAGTGATAACCAGTAATTGGTATTCGTGTTTCTTTCATACATCAACTCCTTGTTAATCTCCAAGGAGCTGTTGCCCCATTCCCCCTGCCAGAAGTCAATCATTGCGGTAATATTAGCGCACATCTTAAAAACCTCAGGGCCATGCGATGAGCCAGTGATCGACCGGTGCTACCTATACGGGTAGTCGTTCGTTGAACTTCGCCACATAAATAATAGATACTGTAAAAAGCAAAAGGATTCCCTGGATAGGTTGGAGTTGCGGGAATTACCAGGAAGCGAGACGGGGTGATCGTCAGTAACATGGCGGGAGGCCGAGTATGTGGGTTTTGGCTGTCAGTAAGAATTAATCTACTAGACAGCAGCCAAAAAAAAGACATCAAATTGGAATCGATTTCAGGCAGAATTTCATCAGTGATGTGACTCACATTAAAGTTGGTATATAGGCAAAGTGCTTTTTCCAAAAAAAAAATAAGAAAAAGAAAAAGAAAAAAAAAGATTTTTTTTTTCTTTTCCGAATGAAATTTAAAGGAATATAATGTCCTGTAACAAATAAATTTGGGTGTTTGTTTTTGCAGGCCTTTATACACTTTTAAAAAAGGGGTTTTAAATGGTGCGCTCCGGTTCTGAAATTGCGCACACTATTCAGAACGAATTATATGGAGCGTCCCGCTCTTAATTCAAAAGTTGAAACTAATTAATTGATTACTTGTCGTGGGTCGATTTGTTTTCGTGCGATGTCTCATTGGAAAGCTCATACTTAATGTTATGCTAGAAAATTATCAATTCAATATGAAAATCTGTTTTTCAAGGTGCCACACCTAAAAAGCACGTATACACCAACTTTAAAGGTTCATGGTTACTTGTTTGGTATTAATCTGAACTATACTCCCATGCTTGTTTGTTTGTTTTTTGGCTGTCTTTCTGGAGTGTTAACTTGATTGTTTGCTTGCTCACTTGCCCATCAAACCTGGATCAGGGAAGGAAACGACCCTGCCCTTTTAGCGAGCTTCAAGATCAGCAGGATGTAGTTTGCCAAAAGAAAATTAAACGACCGTATGAAAATATTGTGCAATGGAGGACTCTCCCCGAGTTTCTTTGCCGTGTTTACAAGTCATCACATTCTCACTTAAGGCGAAACACGCCTCCTCAAGAGTGTTCACAAGACAAGTGCGCCAATTGACCTTTGA